AATAATTATTATTATTTATTTATTTACTTATTATTGTATTTATTTTCGTTTGTTATCGTCAACACTAAACATACAAATTAACATTGAAGTTATGAGTGTATTTATTTCAAAATATAATAAAGAAGGGTTTAAGAACACAAAATATACAATAATGACACGAAACTGTCGAATTATCAATTACCTAACCTTCAAATTCAAAATTGCCTGTGTGTGAACCTTCCTCGCATTCAACCAATCACGTGCAAGGTCAATCTGGTGACAAATTTAAAATACTCCTCCTGGTTTAAAAACAGAGTATAGAACAAAATAGTTAATATCACGAAGTCTAATACAATGATGTGAAAATCAATGAAAATAAGCGAATGGCCAAGAATGTTATGTAGGGCAGGATTCTGTAGTACACATCTGGATCTTTAACATATATATCTGAAATGATAAACTATATAGAAAGGAAGAGCTGAGCGAAAAATTCACCAGATGTAAAAACAATAATAATAATAACGTACCAACATAATAACATACAATAAATCTTCAAAATGTAAATCTCTCAAATAAAAAATGCGAACACTACATTTAATCATTATATTTTACCATTATAATCACTTCCTGACAGAAACTTGATGCCTCTTTGCAAGAGATTTATTGGATTTTGTGAGCCCAATTAATAAAGATGATGAATTAGTGCAATTGCTTGTAGAAGTTCGGTATTCAACCTTAAGAGTTTACTAATTGTATGGCCAAAATTGAGTTTATGCCGACATCTTCACGTCACTGACTCAACGTTGTATGTTGTGGTCAATAAAAGCGACTGCAGCAACTGACCACGGTATTGCCATCAGTGCCATATTGACCTGATTGGATCTCTACCCATTTCTAAGGGATACGAAGACTTCTTATCATGCGTTGCTAGGTATTCGCGATGGTCCGAGGTAATTCCAATAGAAAACATAAAATTTCAAAAACTTTCATCGCTGGATTGAATCACTTTGAGCCAAGACAAAGAACAATCTTTTACTACCCAATCGCCAGTGATTTTGCGGAAAGTTTCAATGTAACTCCCTATCTATTACGATCTAGCCCCAAACACTTCTTTAGTACCTAACCCAACCCTACCCGACTCAACCACTACATCAGTTAACCTACTAGTATATGACCAAAGAAAAAAGTTATTGGATTGAACATAATATTAGTTATAGTAAACAACATAACTAGTCTTTGCATGAACATGACATTTTTTCACAAATCTAAAACAATTCTAAAACACTTTCAGTACTTTAATATTCTTCGGAAATCCGACAGCTTTTGAGAGATAAGTATTAAATCTGACAAGGTTGTTATCTAGAAGTGTATTTTTAAATTTATTAATTCGGTTAACATTAAATAAAAATACTGTTTTGAAAAGGCCGTATCATTCTATTATATCGAAAATATAAATTTTATCAAACTTAATCCGTTATTATCTGAGCTATTAATCCGAAGATTATCTACATAAAAGTGTGTGATTGGTACCGAAACAATATCATTTTGAGCTGTGTAGTAAAAAAATGGTTAAAAAATTAAATTTTAAATTCTAAATAAAGGTAAATCTCTTTGTTCCGTGTTAACACCCACTCAAAATCAAGTACGAGTTAGTTAATGGTCATTTCTTTCGATTTTAACTCCAACAAATTGCATTGTGAAGTTATTAAAGGAAATAAACAATTACATATTAATCATAGCTGCCGAATGACTATACTTACTCAGCCTGTAATAATTTTCTGGGAATAAAATCCGATTTCCGCCTATAATTAGGTATTAAAACTTGTCTTCTAAGATCAATTCCGACTCTTCCAGTCATTTTTTACACAGCAATACGACCACAACCACGGCACAGATTAATTTATCACTCGTGCATTGACTCCAAAAAAATTCAATTTTGTAATCTTATCGATATATCTCTGAGCTCATGCATTTTTAATTGTGCACTAATTTAATCTTATATTTTAAATTAACATGTAGCTTGATTAATCGTATGGAGACCGACGCGATGCACGTTATAAAACGACAGACAAGAATAGAGAAAAGTACGAGGCTACGCGAACCTTTATTATATTTATCTCATTATCGGAAAGGATAATAGGCACCGATTAGTTGAGTACAGTGACTCTGTAACACCGACGACCACTTTTAAAACGTTCATATCTATAAGTCAAAATCAATTAGGTACACAATTAAATATCAATTACCGTGTAATATGCGAATGTAACTAGTGTTTTTTTATAGATTTGAGTATTTAATAAATTAATGTTTTTTGTTGTTATAAAATAACAATGGAAATAAGATAATGAATATTTAGTTACTTAATTAATGAATGATTTTGATTAGAGTGCCTAAAATCATTTTTTCCTCTTTATATTTTGTTCGTATATTTTGGAACCGCTGAATTACTAAAATCTAAATTATCTGTAGATATTGCGTGGGTAATGAAGCGTGTTGAGCAATCTATTAATAGATTGTAATTGTTTTCTCGATGGTGATATGTTGTCTGGCAGGCAGACGACTGCCGAACAGCAAATGCGTTCGTGATCATGTTCTAGTAGTACCTACATTATGTTCGCCGTCGCGATGTCCAATAGTCTGATAACACACAAGGGGTTTTAACTGTAAACGTTCGCGAAATTGTCTGCAGGTAAATTAAATAACTATCGATTTTATGTCTAACTAGATAACCTTTTTTGGTATAGATGAATTAAGTTCGCAACTATAACTTACTTATAGTTTAGATCTCGAATAAGCTTAATGGGGTTGTAATTGAAGATTACAGTTGTCGTACTTGAACGGACGTACGAGTCCGTCGACTTTAAAATTTAATATTCCTCATAAAATTATAACTATGTGATGGAAAGACCATTAAATTGAAAGTAACGACTTTTACAGCGGTCCTTGTAATCTATATGAATCGAAATTATTCATGTGCTAGTTCTAACATTCACAGATATGTAATGATTCTTGTTATATAAATTCATATTAAGTTATAATGACTTTAAATGTGGTATTTAAAAGTTTGATATCAATAAAACTGATGGAGATTTTATAATAAGAGACTTTCAAAGTATTGATCAAACAGTATTATTGCAGCCAACGATATGTCAGGAATTTTCATATTGAAAGGATTCTCAATCGTTTCTCAAGATATGCATTATGGTATTGCGTAGTTTTTATCATTTGGAGAACCATTCATTTTTATGTATTTTTAGATAATCAAAAATAATTAACTACAAACTTATATTAACAAATCAAAATGTGGTAAAAATAAATTAAATAATTAATGTGATATAATTCCACGTCTTCTTGGTCTCATCTTAACTTTAAGGATCACATAATTTCATAATAAAGTTTCTTTGATGAACTGAAACAATGCAGCCTTAATGACGTGTCATTGTCAATTTTAATTAAACTACATTTAACTATATGATACAACCTTTTTTATACATCAATATAAAGCCTCTTTCAAATATCTTCTCAAGCAAAGGGAAAAAAATACTCGGAAAAAGTTTTTACTCTAAGAAAGCATAGCTACGGGAATATCCGGGAACAGAAGGATAAGTTTTACTTTGCTTCCTTCTTTCAGCGAAAAGCTATATACATATTAAGCGTTAAAACTTTCTAAAAGTTAATAAAAGTAATAGGATATTTCCACTTAAGCTCATTTCTGCGAAAGCCCTCGATGTTTTTGTAATAATACATACGTCTCCTAATGAGAACTCATTTATGATCAGCATGATGCAAACATATATTTTGATGGTGACAAACCTTCCGGTCGTCCTTCTTCGGTCGTACGTTAAAGGATACCTTCTCGTGTGTCTCCTGACTTGCGCAGAGCGCGCTGAAGAACGTCGTCTTCGCGCCAAATTATCAGAGAGCCGTCTCGCGCTGTCCGAAGACAAGACACTGCTGGCTGAGGCGAATGATGTTTTGGAGTCTGTAGAGTCTTCGTGTTCGAATTCGTGTTCCGGGATAGCTTCTGAGTCTCGTCGAGATGACAAGTCCGTTGAATACAAACTGGTGACGCTGGCCCTCGAGTCCATAGATCTTTGCCCGATGATTTCGTATCTTCTCGATGATGCCGAATAAGTTGAAAATGATGATATGCTTGTGACGGAATGCCTGCTTTCGTTGCCGTATTCTACTGAGGAGTCTCTTGAGAAAGGAGAATATCTAGATCCGGACAGTGATGGTCTACTTTCTGAGGAGATCCTCGTAAAGGACGAAAGCTCGCTGGGGTGTTCTAAATCAGGTGATTGCGATTCCGGCGAAGGCGCCGGTGGAATTTCTAGGGATGGCGTAGGCACTTCCGGGGGTTCATTTACAGGTGGCGGGGAGTGAGGGACATGTCTTAGGGTGCGTATGAGAGACCATAGCCAGAACAATATAGTCAGCATTATTTGGCATAAAAGCTGATTTTTAGTTACGGTTCATCCATACCACCAACAATACTATTGATCTACAATTCACCAGCTTCAGTTGGATTCTATACGTGTTGTCTTACCATCACCCTCATTTTTCCAAGTAGGTTAAAGAGGTTATGTTTATCTGCAGTGCACTACCGCCATCTTGATAGTACCCCGCGCTAAACGTCGCTAATGCGTTGTTGGCATTTTTCCCGACTTTTCATTCATAAAACACAAACCCTAAGTTGCCCCAAAACTACTCATTTAAATTCGAGAATAGTATATTCTTCTACATTGTCACCACATGTTAATAACCTTACTTTTATACAAAAGAAAACAAAGTTTTTCACTTTGAAAACACTGTCAACATCCCCATACGCACTTTGGATTTATGCTATGCGGCAAATGTTTTTTCCTATTTCCTTTACGAGCACAACGTGACCGATAGATGACGCGCAACCACCATCGTCCGGTTCATATTGATTCCACTAAACTTTGTGGGACACGAGTTTAGGAGTATCGTGAAAAGAAATGCTTCCGCATTTTTTCAATGAAAATGTATGAAAAATTGGTCGCTGGTAAAACGTACGATATGAAAGCGGCCATGACTAGCGCGCAGTGCGCAAGTTCGACACCGTTTACCCTCGGTGATGTGACCTGGTGAGGAATAGCGCCGCTGGCGGCATCTGACGGCTGATATCGCGTACTAGAAACGAAACAATGCAAACAAACAATTGCGCAGCGTCAATGCAATCCAATCTAAAGGGAAAATAATTATTACACGAAAGTAAACAAACGTAAAGAAAATATAAACGTGGAGAGTATATAATTAAATTATTTCATCAAAATTAAACGATTTTCATAAACTTTAGGGATGAATACTGTAAAATTTCATTCTTACAAAAGTAATCGTATTACATTAAAATCTCAATATAAAGAACTAATACGGGAAAGCGAATGTCCGTTATAGCCAAAAGTCTGTTACATGAAAAGTTTTTAATTTGCACTTTAAAGTGTTTGAATGAATAATTTTAGTGCACACAAATTCAAACAGCTATTCACACTTCGTTGCGTTCTGTATCAGTTAGTTCTAGTTTTAGTTCAATCAAAAATATGTAATGAACTGACGCTGAATAATAACTAAAACAAGAACTAACACTAGACCTAGAACTGGAAATATTTAGGTTAAACACAAAACTTTTAAACTTTTAAAAATATACAGGTTCCCCATAATAGACTACCTATTTTAATAGCTCAATAAAATTATTAAAACTTAATAAAACAAACATTTTATTACACTTAATTACAATCTACTATTTGGTATTTACTGAAAATATGACTCATCCTATCTTTTAAAAATCACGTCTTTTAAGTAACCGCCATCAACTTCAATGCACTTTTCACGATTGAACAAGAATTGATTTATGACACAATGAAGCAAAACCTCATCTATTCGTCGGACATCTTCAGCAATTCGTTCTTTGAGTTCATGGATGTTTTCTGGACGAGTTGCAAAAACCTTCGCCTTTAAATAGCCCCATAAAAAAAAGTCTGGTGCAGTTAAGTCCGGGGACCTCGAAGGCCAATTTAAATCCCCAAATCGTGAAATGAGTTGCCCATTAAACTTCTCGCAGAACTCTCATAGTATTTCTAGCGGTATGTGCTGTTGCTCTATCTTGATGGAATTACAACGCCTTATTTAGTAATCCCCTTGTTTCTAAATCATGATTAAAAAATGTCTCTAGCATATTTACGTAACGCTCGGCCGTCGCTGTTAGAAGACGGTTATTTCCAGCTTCAAAAAAAACGACCAATAATGCCAAATGATCCTACCGCACACCAAACAATAACTTTTGGATTATGGAGATTGTTTGTAATGATTTCTTTAGGATTTGCGTTTGACCAATACATAAAATTATGTTTATTAACCATGCCGTTCAAATCAAAATTTGCCTCGTCACTCATTAAAAGATTGTGGATGTCTTCTCGATGTAAATTTAAAAATACTTGGCAACAAGTGAATCTGGCTTGTTTATCTTGTAAACTAAGAAGTTGCGCCATTTGGTATTTGTATGGATGAAATTTTAAGTCCTTGTGAAGAATTCGATCTAGGCTCTATTTGATATTCCCATAATAAGGGATTGCATATTAACAGACCTTGTGCCTATTAGCAGATTTCTCGTAAACGCAATTCCGACTCGTTCAATATTTTCTAGTTTTGTGACAGGCTCCTACTCTATTAATAATATGTTGATTAAAATCCCAAAGGCCATAGAAGATAATGATATAAAGAAAAACTTACTGGCTTATCTCATATAGAATTTATTTCAATATCAAAACAGGTAGTCTATTATGAGGAACCCTGTACAACAATATCTCAATTAAAACTAATCCAGTTCAAACGAAGTCCGTTATATCGAGGATTTATTGTATTTACTTAAAAAAAATATTATGTTGACATTTTTCGAATTATAGAAGTTTGCTATACATTTTAGAATAAGATTTAGAATTAAATATAGTTCGTGCGCAAACAAATTTAGAATTGTGTATCTATTGAAACTATATTATGAGAGCCACTTAAAGTTTGTAGTGGTTCTATTTAATTAAGATGCCCCTAGATACAATATTGTGGAAAGTGTTTTTTCTAAAATCCGTTTATCACAAAAACTTTAATCGATAGACTAATTTTTAAATAAAGTTATTTGTTACTTTTCTGTTCCAAAGTAAAATAAAATACTTTAATAACTTCTTCCAAAAAAAAAACTATTTCCATTGTACGTAAATGAAAATAGACATTTATGAAATTACTTTTAATATTGACAATGATTGATGAGCGATTGATTTCAACACCACATTGAATTGATTTGTAGATAATATAAGGTCTATATTATCATTTTTACGCTAAGATAAAATTTGCCAAGAACTTTCGCTGTATTGAGATAGGTCATCGAAAAAAAAAAGCTTGGATCTGTATGGTTCGCGCCTTGTGACGTCAACACATTAGTTTGACGTCACTGTGGAATCAGGTCACGCTGCACTGGTACTTTGCAAATCTTTATCGCGTTGGCGCTAATTTCGTCGTAAATGCAACAAGGAACAGGAGTGTTTTCGTTGAATTACGTCTGGTTTATATCGCGACAGATGAATACGGTTGCTAGACAAAACCGTCTTTATACTGCACCATAATGAATATACCCTCTAAGAATTTTAGCAGCAGTATTGTGCACCGAGGTTCTGAACACGCAAAGGAAATTAAGAGCGGGCGTACAGTTTTATGTTGACTAGAAATGATATTTATGGACGGGTTGCATTGGGCGATTATTACAGTGTAGCGTGTTGAATTGAATTGTTTTTAATGAAACTACCTAAATTGTGTTAGATAGAACTTACATTATAAATTTAATCTAGAATATTGCACGTAATCATAATAGTTATATGGGTCGTTTCAACTTTTAATTAGAATATTTAAAATAAAATAATAGGACTAAAATGAAAAGATTTTGTTAAAAGTTCAAAATATTGATAATGAGAGTAAAGATAAGAAATTCGGTTTATTGTCGAAAAAAGTATTTCTTATGGTGGAATGAAGAGTAATTAATATACTTTCTCTCAATATAAAAGTTGAAAACTCGATTGAAAAAAAAAAATAATGAAGCCGATACTAAATCTGCAAGTTCCAAGCTGGAAAGCTAAGATACAATAGTTATTGTTGAACAAATGATTGTAGTGATGACATCTTTGGGTCTCTTGATGAGGAAAAATGAATAATTTAATTCCCCGGGACTTCACCAAATCTTTGACATATTAAATCATGATTTGTTCGTGACAATCTTAAATTATGTTGGAATTAGTATTGCGGCTGATGGAATTATGGGAATTATCTTGTGAACAGGTGCTAGCAAGTCAGGATGAATGGTGTCATCTTGTTATCTACATTTTGGACAATTTTTTTTGTAGATTGTTATACAACAACTATGAGGACGCATTGACCAACACATGTTATTGGTAATCCTAATAAAACGCACCATATCTTATGTGGTAAGAAGTGTGATGAACAGTGATTGTCGTTTGGTCATTTAAGAATGCTTTAAGGACCTCTGGGTATTCTTTCTTATGAATTGAAGCAGCATCTTTTTGATTCACTAGTTCTCTTCTATTTTCATTGCGGTGTTGTGTTTTCACTGTGTTTACCGTACTAAAGTGCTTGTTTTTTATTTATGACATCGGGCGTAGAAGTGATATATATTATTTATCACGAGAAGTCTTCCTATTTCATGAATAAAATAAACTTTAAGGTATTGTTTCTGCGTTACCATGCCTAGGCACAAATATTCAAATCCCTGATTTTGTGCGGTTTGCTGTCGGTATTACGAGGTATAAACACTTAATGAACTGCATTTAATATAAACAAACTATAGTAACGCCATTGCCGTATAGAAAAGGGGCTTAATTTTCACAAAGTATAACGTCATTTTTATCTTTTGAAATAAGTAAATGTTTTAGACCATAATTGCTGTTTAACCGGACTCGACAGTACGAAATAAAATGCAAAATATTTTACAATTTGGAGTGAGTTGTTTTCTCCAATTCTACAAATTGAAGAAACCAATTGTTTCTTTCAACGAACAGATAATAATTTTAAAAGATATCACCAAGAAAATTTAAAATTTAGTATAACCTAACGTTGTATTAAAACCTCAAAAATATTCCTTTCTTCACTTATATTCGTAGAGAAACCTTTCCGTCTTTAATCATTTTTGAACAAAACCCCACTCGCAATCGGCGATTTTAATTGATCCAAAAGAACATGCATCTATATAAACGTTAGTAATCAATATAGAATTTAGTCTACACTTTACTGAAAAACTAAAATAGAATATTAATACAGCGATTATTAAGTTCACATATATTATATAACATAATTCCAAACTGTATTGCTTATTTACATATAACAGAGCAACTGATTTTGTTTTCAACATAAACTAAGAGGTAGACAGTAAAATACGTTGTTGTTACTCGCCTTTTTCTTTCGAACAATAGCAATATATCTTAGGTTTTCTTTAGGAGGATTTAGAGTTTCATTAAATACACTAGATTTTAAGATATCACCAATAGAGCCTCGACTCGAACGTTCTAAGATATATTTTCTCTTTTCGCTTCTAGTTTTAGTTGAGTGAAAAGAGCTTTTGGTGAAAACCCATCGTACAATTAAATTAACTAAAGTGGCCACTTCTCAGATTTTTTAGATGGCACGTTTATCAAATTAAAAAAAAGTGCAGTAATAACAAGATGCGGTTGAAAATTCTGAGTAAACTATTACATCCAGTTACGTAATTTGAAGATTTGCATCACGAAGATTTAATTCTTAATTTAGTACTGCCACGTTTAACTCATACTAAGTACAAATTGAATGACTTATTGTTGAGAGAATTAGGTTTATCAAAAATTGGAACTTTTAGGAGTATGATACGAATTAACTTTTTATCGAAAATCCAACAGTAACCTTTTTCAACATTTTGAACATGAGTGTATTAAGTTAAGGTCGATGAATTCGAG